TGTGTGTGTGTGTGTGTGTGTGTGTGTGTGTGTGTGTGTGTGTGTGTGTACTGCCTATACATGCCCATACCATGGAAGCCAGAAGAGGGCATTGGATCTTTTGGAACTAGAGTTACAGAGAGTTGTGAGTTGACTCGTGGGTGTTAGGAAGCAAACCCAGGTCCTCTGCAAGAGCATCAGGAGCTCTTAAACCCTGAGCCATCTCTTTTTTTAATAGAACAACTTGCTGTTCATATTTCCTCATTCCAAGGAGTCTGAATACCTGGCTGAACATTTTTCTCTAATTTCCACTCCTCCCCAGCACTTGTGAAGAGGAAACTATCGTTATTCTCACCGTACAGATTCATGATTGTCAGCCAAATCTGCTATCATGGGTTTCTTTTCTGATACCTTTCATATAGCATAAGAAATCATTTTTCTGACATAATTTCTAGTGTTTATAGCATCAAAGCATCAAAAGGATATTTCTTACCTCGTATCTGCTAATCTCCATGATGCATCATCTGTTATGACAAAAATATTCCCTCTTGCAAAATTTAAAATCTAGAGAAACATTTATAGCATTTAAGGAAGATTAAGAAAAATTGTGAAAAAGGTTAGATAAATAACATGTTATAATTATATGATATATATATATATATATATATATATATATATATATATATATATATATATATAATGAATCCTTTACTAACTTGACAATAGGACTTGGAAGCCAGATTTCTCAAATAATGCCTTCATGTTGGACCAGTGGGGGCAAGTCTGTAGTACTGTACAGGAATCCTGCAGTCGACAGTTGGAAGTCAATAACCAGTTAAACCCTAGCACTTGGAGTGTGCGTTACCTGGCTCTTGGGTCTTTGCTTTTGTTGGGGACATTAGCTTTAATCACTTTGTGTGTTGGTTTTAGTTTTGTTTTGCTTTATGTAGATAAGTTATATACTTTATCTTTTGTTTTGAAAATTCTTACTGTTCCCCTGGTATATAGTAATTCTCCAGCCCGTGGAATATGAGACAACTGATTCTGACTCTGTCTGAAATGGAAGCGTCCACCAATTCATTAAACTGTGTGTTTCCTGCACTCTGGTCCTGTGCATTTAGGGAGGAGCAGGAAGATTGTGTGGCATGAGCTTTGTAGAGAGACTTGTGACCTGTCCACACCATGAGAACTCTTCATATGCCCTTGACATCCTTCCCATCTCATGAGAGCTTCCTATTTTAGTAGTTAAGGTCTTCTTCGACTGTCCCATTCTGCCCCTCACCTCTTCAGCCATGCTCCTGCATCCAAAGGCATGGCAGAAATGTCTGGGATCAGCCTCATGTGTGCCTGTCCCTCCTATGTGACTAACCTTAAAAGCTAGAGAATATCCATTTCCTAGTTGTGAGGTGGCCGTTTTAATTTTTTTTCTTCTTCTGGCGGCCATGCTTTGTAAGCAGCTTTAGATGATTTCCAGCATACATTTTTTTTTTCTTCAAGAAACTTTATAGTCTTGGAGAGAATATTAACTGTAGCTGCTGTCTCTTTGTTCTGCTGTGTGATCAGGCAGAACTAAGGATAGAAACACTGTGGTATTCTTGGGAGAAAGCGGAGTAACTGGCTTCATGAGTGAGGAAACGCGTGGGGTACAAAGGCCTGCTTGTGTAAAGACTCGGTTCCTAAGGCTACACGAGAACGAGCAACTCAACTTGCCACTTATTCCAACATGGTTAACATGAGTAATAACCTCAAAAAATGTCAGAGGAACAGCGGTCTTACTCTAAAGAGCACCCCATTGGGAGGAGAGTCCAAAATCAAAGCAAATCCATAGCCCGGCTAGTAATGCACCACATATGGTTGGAGAAGTGCTTGCTAACACACGAGGAGAAAATGCTCAGTGAAAAATTGATGGGTAGGAATGAATTAGTATAAGCCTAACATATCGGCTTGTCAAAGCAAAATGAAGACAGCTGTGAGAGCTCATTCCTCCTTCCAGCACCGCGGTGGTAGTCCCTGGTGAACCAGCAAGTCAGATGCAAACAACCTCCTGCGACCCGCTTTTAGCTGCTTGCTGTTAACGGTTCTTTTGCCAGGCCCAGTGTTTGTAATCCCCATGTTTTCATAACTAACACCGAGACCGCAGCAATTCTTTTGCATTTCCTTTGGCTGCAAAGACTTCTCCATCCTCTGGTGAGGACGCAGTTAAGGAGTGGCCGGTTTTGTATGTCCGCGTATGTGTCTGAAAGTTAGTTCCTAAGTTTTGAGTAGCATTCCTTTCTTGTTTTAGTTTTGACTTTGAAAGTGTGGAAAGTACCGTGGAGAGTACAGTGGACAAATCAAAGCCCTGGAGCAGGTCCATCGAGGACCTGCACAGAGGGACCAACCTGCCCTCCCCTGTGGGCAACAGTGTGTCCCGCTCTGGAAGACATTCTGCGCTTCGGTAAGTGCCTTAATCGGATGCTTTGGCACTGCAGTGTCCTCCCTCCTCTTCTGATCGTGGCCTGGCCGCGTGGCCCTTCCTTCTCGGTGAATCTAACTAACTAGGTGTTCACAGTCTTTTCCCTACAGTTTGTACTCTGTAGGGTTAGGGTTACATAAATACTTCGTAGGAACGCCATATTGTGATTCCGCCTAGAAGGTGAGAAGCTTGTGCCAAATGACACAGTGAAGTAGTCTCTAGCAGGTAAGTTCCGGTGGGTGTGATCAGTGTGCCCCTTGCAGGGCAGAGGCTGCACATTATAAAATGAACATCTGAGGAGCCCCTGTAGCTCCTCAACTGTTCTGCCCTCTCCTTCCACAGGTCGCTCAGGGGCGTGCTTTGCAGGGTGCTGTGACTCATAGGTCACCGTGTGTCTAATGGAGGTCACTAGGCATGTTCCTTTGGGTGTGCTTCATTGCAACTTGACCTTTCCCACTAACAATGCCACCTTAAGGCTTCTGCTGAACTGCCAGGAGCTGCGAGAGCACTGACCGCCTGTACCAATGATGGGCGTGATTTCATGTTGTTCGTTCAGACCTGTACTCACTTGCTAAGTGGAGAAGGAGCCTCTATAATTCTTGAGGTGCTGTACTTGCTGCTCATTGGTGAGGAAGTTAATGTTCCTGCTAATAAAGCTAGAGGTCGTGTCTAGCTCATTGTTGAAGGGTTCTCAGACCCATGCCGTGAATACAGATGTGGTTAAGATCTTCATCCCCAAGTGCTGCTTACTTCTGGTGGCTTACCGGAACCTTCTTAGGTATTTCTGCCATGACCTGGCAGGGTGGTGTCATCTACCTGTTTGAGATCACCCAGGGTTTTAGGACACAGAGTGTGTCAGGTTAGAACCTGTGAGTATGTGGCGTCCAGACAGTCCACATCTGACTGTCTTTGTATGACCTTCTACTTCTTTGACTTGGGTTTTAGTCAAGGACAGTTTAAGAAAACATCCTTCTCTGTAATGAAGATCAGTTCTGCCAAAGGGTTTGATACAACTGTGTTGTCTCCAATAAGCCATTCAGATTTCCTTGGTAGCAAATGCCAAAAAAAAAAGAAAAGAAAAAAATGTTGATGAATTTAAGATAAATTGATTCAGAAATAATAAGGAGCAATGTTCCAGTTCACCCCCTGGTTTTTGTAATGGGCCAGTGACTATATAACCCACTAATGTGGTGAACCCCACACGTAGGAAAAGGAATATCTATATGGACTTGGAAGTTAAAGCCTCCTGTACATGAAAAGCATCTGAGCATCAACTCAGGTAAAAATGCTTTTCAATATTTTATTATAATTACATAAAGGGATTTAGTTTACAAAATACAATTTGTTTTTATCTTTGCTTAGAAGGTATATATTGGCCAGCTGTCTAATATAGATTCATCTTTCTAAATAATTCATTATGTGCTCTGGACCTTGGGAGGCAGAACTCAGGGACATCAAAACTAGCCTGAGCTGCTTCATAGACAGCTTAAGGTAGATCTTGCCTAGCTATGTTTTCAATTTGAAAGCTGTACCAAAAGTATGGTGATAGGCATGGGAATGTTATTTGGAGAGTTCTGGGGGCCATTTGACCCATGTAGGATGCCACTGTCACTTCTTCTGTGTTGTGTTTGAAAGCCCAAGGTAGGCAACACTTGGATTTCATCAGAGAGTCAAAATGGTGGCAACTTACATGTCATTTACTTATTCACTCATAATCATTGGTTCTAAACAGTGTATATCAATGGTAGTTTAGATCTTGTAATCCAACAGCAGCCGGAGCACAGCTGTCTGGTATATGTTACTTTTCGTATACCCAAGGATTGTTTACATTTTTCTCTCCCTCTTCCTCCCCCCTTTCTTCCTTTGCTCTCAACACTCCTTTTATTTCTGGCTTTCATTTTATTGCCTTCTTTCTCATTCCACCATCTCATTTCTCACTGTCTTCTCTGCTCTGTCCCTTCTTGTCCCGCTGCCTCTTGTTCTGGTTTTATCCATCTCTTACCTCACCACCAGGCTGGCTTCCCTGCCCGGGTCTCTTTAACTCCAGTGCCACCTGAGCTGCTTTTCCTTCTGCTGCTTCTGGAGCAGCTTCAGTTTACACATTGATGATGAGGCTTCCAGCCAGAAAATCTCCCAAGTCACTGGAGAAAACACTCAAGAGAGCTGACAGTGCAAGGTGGCCTGGTCTTAATTACCATCCTCCCTGTCACAATATGGTAACCTTTGTGTCACACCACTGCCTTGCATACACTGATGCATGGTTTTATATTATAGCTCCTCCTCTTAAGAATTTGATTCTTTTCAGTAAAATGCAGTTTTATTAATGTCAAAGTTTTTTTTTTTTTTTGTTTTTTAAGTACTGTGGTGTTTTCTGGCAGTTTTTTTTTAAATGAGTAAATATCTTTATATCAAACATAGTTTGATATAAAACTCAATCAGTTTTCTCTGCCTCATCTCCAGATAATAACGTAAGTATTTTCTCTTACCAGTATCCCTCGTCAAATGGTGTTGGTGAAACTTGAAAAAGATAAGATTTCTGGCAGTTTTAATGCATTTTGGAGGTCTTTAGACAGAACCCTGGTGCTAGCATTCTCTTTCAGAGAATCCACCTCTCTGTTTTTAAACTACCTCATATTGCTTGTCAAATACCCAGCACAGGCCTGCACCGTACCTGTGGCTGGGTTCCGAGCCATCGTACCTCTGAAGCCTGGCCCCAGGGGAAGTGTTCATGCCAGTGCAGTGGAAACTTGGCTTGTCCTTTCTCCAGAGCGTGGCCTGTCTCCAGCTGAGACTGATTTCACCAACGTGGCTACAGATCTGGCTTCATTAACTGATGGAGAGTGTGTACATCTGTGCACCTCATGTCTTGAGGACCAAGGTTGTTGTATTTGAGATGCAAGAAAAAAGTAACTTTAAGACAGTCAAGATGAATGCTGTTAGACTTGAATAAGACATGGTAGTCACAAAATAAATACTTTGAGCTTTTAAGGAAAAGAGTGGAGAGCTAATGTGGACCTGGGAAAAAGGTCAAGTTTAAACTGCGCTTGTTGGTGATGGATGGAGTTGGTTTTCAGGAAAGGCTGCACCGCACAGAGGTGAGGTGAAAAGGTATGGATGAGCAAACCTTGCATCAAGGATTAGGCATGTTTGGGAAAGGAGGATGTACCTGTCCTTTCAGGGACAAGCCATGTGGCATGACAGATAGTTCTCGCATGGAGGGAGATTTCAAATGCAGAACCTTTGTGGCGATCACCCCAACTGACCATCTCACTTGGAGGGAGGTACATCCTACATTGCTTTTAGGATGTTAACCACTAACCAACTTTTCCTCTGAAATGGATATTCTGCCTAAATGAGATGTCAGTTTCCCCTCAAGCTGCTGTTTCTGTGGAGCAGCATTTCATGAGCAGTCATGATCCGGCAGATTGTACCTGGTTCCTATGGGCGCAAGTGAAGAGCTGGGGTTAACTTCCAGTTTATACTTCTGACCCAGCCATCCCATTTCTCACGTTGTTCAAGGAGGGGATGTAAAACACAGACACAGATGAATCTCCATGATTTTTACTCAGGGGAGAAATGCTTTCAGTAAATGAGCCAGTGTGCCGGGCACTGTGCTGAGAAGCCGCCCTGGATTCACTCTCCACAGGGACTTTTGGCAGTGTTACCCCTGTTATCACTAAGGGTTAAACCTGAGGTCAGTGAAGGAGAAAGGCTTGTGGTGAGGTAGTCTGAGCCCAAATTTCCCACTGTGCTGTTCTGCCTCTTCATTCATAAGGAATGTTTTTTGGTTTTTGTTTGTTTGTTTGTTTTGTTTTTTGTTTTGTTTTTGTTTTTTTTTTCTCTCTCTCTCCCTATAAATGTCCTGTTTGCCCATGGAGGATTTTGTAATCCCTCTCATGCAGTTTGTCACATTAAAGCCCCATGATCCAGGGGAGACCCTCAGAGTACACTGGGGCATGTCATACCACTTGGAAATAAGTGGATGGTGACAGCAACTCAGGACCATTTTGCTTATAACACAAGGTTATTTAAGAGTTATATTCCTTCAGGTTTTGGCAGGTAGCATTTTACTTTCAATTAGCATTTGTTGTGGAGGAAATTGCCATAAATTTAGCTTCAGCTATTACAGTCTCAGGTTCTCTCTGTCTCTATCTTTCTGTGTTTCCCTCTCTCTTACACACACACACACACACACACACACACACCAGAGTTGCTTTGTTTTCATCTAGAGGAGAGAATATCCTCTGTGGTGTTTCTTCCCTTCTTGACCCCTCCTTTCTCCCCACCCAAGTTATAGGACATTGTTATGATTTTGTGGCTTTCTTTATTGAGTTGTCATCTGAATTTTATTCCGTTCTTCTCCTTGTTGCCATTTGTTTAAATTTTTCCCTCCATCAGGTAATTTAGTGAAGAACTTGACATACTCTTGTCCCAGAGTATCACTTAGCAGGAAAAATACTTTAAAAATATTCTTTTCAAACCTTGAATTTTATCTGTTTCCAAATGAGGGGGCAGATAGTGATTAAAGTTTTTGTCACCTGATTTAGAAAAGGAGAAACCACTTTAAATGAGTAGAGAAAGTACCCACCTTGTCATTGCTGTGCTGTATCGTCTATTTAGGAAACAGTTAGCTTGTAAGTCTGGCAAGAGTAGCCCAGAGCCTGTGTCGTATTTTGAGGCTGTGCTTGCCCATGGTGATTTATCTAAAGCTTATGAAGCAGGGTAGTATAGGATGAATTGACATATTTGGCTTCAGTGTCACAAGAGTGAGATGGCTTTCTTGGACATTCTTCACAGGGCTGTGTGCTGCTTAGCTAGCTGTCCCATAGTGAATGCCTTCAATGGAAACATAATGGGGAGCCAGAAATGGCAGGTTAACCAAGACCTGCTGTCCATATCCTGAGCTGACACCTTCTATTCACACAGATTGATAAGCAGTTTCAGCTGTTACCTGGGTCTTCGGTGAAAACATAAAACACACA